GTGTGTGTGTGTGAGAGAGAGAGAGAGAGAGAGAGAGAGAGAGAGAGAGAGGGTCTTGTGTAGTTCATGCTGGCCTTGAACTCACTTCTGTAGACCGACCACACTGGCCTTGAACTCACAGTGATCCTTCTACCTCAGCCTCCCAAGTGCAGGGATTATAGGTGTGTGTCATCATGCCCAGCCACGAGTGGTTTTTTATTATATATAAGGACCTATGCTACCAATGCTGTCTGCACTTCTCCAAGTGTTCTCACAGGACTTGAATTCATCACATTTTAAGCTCTTGTGCTCCCTGCCAACGATGTTTGGGTTTTGATGATCTGTGTGAGATTTCTTAAGATACTGCTTCTTCCTAGGTAGGAGTATGTGACCCACAGGCTCTGTAATGCCCATGAGAATTGATCACATAAATTAACAAGACCAAATGGCGTTTACTGAGAATAAGAAGACTCTGTATCTCTCTGTTAATGTCAAATTATTACCTCTGACTTCTTTGAACTGCTTGGGGTTTCTGGGCTTGGTCATCTCTGACCACTTTCCATCTCATAAGGTAGGGAACACAGATTGATTTGGATTAGTGGAGATGACTATAAAAGAAATACAGGTTCTGGAATTGACCACAGAATGAAAATCCAATTCCCAGTTGGCGTAGTAGAGGCCTATTGGTATGTAAATAATACAACGTAATCCTCAATTATCTGAGGAGCTTGGTATAAAATGTTAGGGGATGTCTAAGTCTGCACAGTCTAGTGGCTTCTAACTCACCCTTTTTCTAAGTTTTCTTATTTGCCTTCTTGCCATTGCTTCTGAAGAAGCTAACTTCAGAGTTGGTAGATTGGTGAATTTATAGAAGTATAAAGAATACCTGGTTAGTGGGTCATGGTGGTGCATGCCTAAAATCCCAGTATTTGGGAAGCTGAGGCAAGAGCATTGCCAGCCTGGGCTAAATAGTAAGTTCCAGGCCAACCTGAACAGCATAGAAATACCCTGTCTCAAAAAACAAACAAATAAATAAATGCCTTTGTTAATTAATGGTAGGGCTTGGTCACTTTATGAAAGCAAATCATCCTTTGTGACTGTAACCTGTTTACTTCTTCTAATCAGCACACTGCCCAGCACTTTGTAAATGCTCAATAAATACATTTGGATTTCTTTTCCTGTTTTGTTTTGCTTTTTGGTGTTTTTGAAATCTTACTATGCAGTTCAGGCTGGCTTGAGCTTACTCTGTAGTCCAGGCTGGCCTGGATCTGACAGTGATCCTTCTGCCTCAACCTCCCAAATACTGGGAATACAGGTATGTGCCACCACTCTGGCTACACATATGGATTTAAAAGTAAGTTCAAGCTATAGTCTGAATTAAGACTTTCTTAAATGAAGAGCAAAACATTGAGAAAAATGAAATAGTGCTATAATTGTCTGGAGTTGAATAGATTATATTCTTTTTTTTCTTCTTTCCAAGATAAGCTTTAAAAATACCACTTTATTTAGAAAAAGAAGTGCATTTCATATCAATGTCTGCTGACACTTTTTGCTTATGAAATAATTTAGCTTCATTTGTAACTTCTATACTTTATAGTTAGTTAATCTATGGATTTACAGTTAAGTAGAATATATACATTTAGAAACAATAAGGGCAGACTCAAAATAAGGTTGGAAATTTCTCAATTTCAGTCAGATATTATACTCAGCTTTTCCCTCACTGTTAGAGTCTTTTTTCTCTATAACTGTATTTTAATGGTGAGTACTGTAAGAAAAGTCTCCTTTTGAGTTCTCTGTGAATGGGACTGGAAGAAAACATCCTGGCATTTGCTAAAAGATTGGCCAAGAAGTACCTGAACAGTCAGTACCTCACAGTCAGTGAAAAGGTAAATTCCGCAGGACTGGTTGGTATTATTTCTGGAAAATCTTTACAAACATATTTGGAAACTTTTTTTTAAATTGGGAATGTCTTTGAAACAAATACCAATACTTCATACATGTACATTTGAAAGATACCAATTGTCTTTAACTGTGTTTACAAACTATATGTTGGACTCTTGGAGGCCTGAACAGATACTGAGGCCCAAGCATCTGCTGGGTGAGGGCTGTGGCCCTGAATGAGATAAAAGCTGCAGCAGGTGTTTCCTCATGCTTGAGCTGCAGGGTCACAGTGGTCTGCTGCTCCTTCATCAATTTTGCAGCTCCCAGGACCCCGAGGATACTAAACAGACACTGAGTAGCTTCTTTCTGCTCATCTCTACCATGATGACATCTGATCTACAGAATCCTCAACCCATGGTGCACATAATGTCAACTTAAAGAGTTACATCCTGCACCTCCTAAACCCACACTCTTCCTTTTGGCGTAGTATTTGTCTGTTCAACTTCATACTTTCACAGTAGTGAGGTGTTTTTTTGGGTGTTTTGTTTTGTTTTGTCTTTTTGAGACCGGGTATCATTATGCAGTTCAGACTGACATGGAGCTCATTTTGTGGTGTAGGCTAGTCTCAAACTTGCAACAGTCCTCCTGCTTCAGCCTCCCTAGTGTTGGGATTACAGGCGTGTACCACCACACCTGGCTACGTTTATTTTTTAAATGATCATTTATGTATATCTACAATTTACAACTAATTTTGCTTTTAAGAAAAAAGCAATAAAATGCCAAACCCCATTTTAATGCAGTATAAAGCTTGCAGATTGGAAGTCTCCAATGTCAGGAAACAAACAACGAGTGCACTAATTTCTAAATTACCATCTAGGCTTGTAAATGTATACGTTGTTCATACAGCAGAGCATTTTAGAGTAATCTGTACTGTTAGTGTTTTCCCTGAGCATTTGCCATTGTTTATTACTGTTTGTCTCTGCATTTACTCAATATTACCATGTGCTATGATTGCTAGACCAGAGTAGAGCATTTAACAAGCAGAGACTTCCAAGTTGAAGCCAAAATAGTGGGAAATGAAGCTGCTGTAAAATTTTGTGGACAGTAGTTGCAAAGTAACTTTTTGCGAATTGTATACAATAAGTGAGAAAAGTAGGTCACACTCATTTTTTATAAACCAATCTTCATAAGTTTGCCTATGCTTGATCAAAGTACATTTATAAGTGATCTGAAAATAATTTTAAAATAACAGTTAAAATAGTATTTTTTTTAACTGGGTACTGAACTTAGGGCCTTCAGACCAGGTAGGCCACATACCCCCAAGTCTTTTTTAAAGATGTTTCTAATTTTGAGATAGAGCCTTACTGAGTTACCCAGGCTGAGCCTGACCTTGTCGTCTCCTACCTCAGCCTCCCAGCTTGTTAGGGTTGTAGTTACCTACCATCACGCATGGCAATAATTTTGTATTTGTTTCTATTTTCTGTAAATGATAGAAATTTTTAACCCCCTCCCTTCTCCTGCGGTCTTAGTTACTTTTCACTTATTGTTGAGACAAAAATGCCCAACAACTGAAGTTAAGGAAAGAAACGGTTATTTAGCTCACAGTTTTGTAGAGGTTTCAGTCCATAATCAGCTAGCTCCAAGGCAGAGGGGCGCGTGGCAAAGAGACGGTAGTTCGTGGTGGCAGAAAACAGCAAAGACAAGAGCGAAAGGGGCGAGCCAGCCTGTCCTCCTCCTGTGCAGGGTATGCAGGTGCCCACCTGAGGAGTGAGGGGTGTGATACACCCTAATCCAGCACTAGGCAGCGAACTAAGCACAAATTGTAGATTCAGCTGCCTCCAAAAAGCTCCCCCTTTATGACTGCATGAACTTTTGGGGGGACATCCAGACACAAAACATAACACCTGCCGCTGAGGGTTGAACCCAGTGTCTTTGTACTGAGTTATATCCTCAGCCCTTTTTTTATTTTGAGACATGGTCTCATTGAGTCACTAAATTGCCCAGGCTGGGTTTGAATTTTCCATCCTCTTGCTTTGACTTCCTAGAATGCTAGGGTAACAGATATATGTGCTTGTTTCAATTAGTTTTATACATTTTTGATCATTTATTCTAGTGTAAGGGTCTGTATGACTAAGAGACAGAGATTAATAATATATGGTTTTGGTTGTTCAAATTTATACCCAACTTCAATCAGCAAATATTTAGAGTTTCTTTTGTTGATTATCTTACAGCTAGCTTACTATTTAGTAACAATAAGCTTAACCAACAATTTTGGGAAATAGAAAAGGAGTGAAAAACGTCTAGCTTCTGTAATTCAAAATAAGAAAATATACTATAGCTTGAGTAATCAGATGAGTTAGTTAAAACAGCCCTTCCCTACCCTCCTCTCCACTCCCACTTTCCCCCACCTCTCTCTTACCCCACCTTACTCTATATCCCCACACCCCTAACCAACCCTATCTCTTCACACTACATCTCCAGATTTTTGTTTTTAATTGTTTTATTTTGAGCCTTGCTAAGTCACCAAGTTGCCTAGGCTAGGTTCAAATTTAAGATCTGTCTGCCTCAGCCTGCCAGGGCGCTGGGAATCATGGTATTTGCCACCATACCCAGCTGCTGAAGTACTACTATAAAAAGGATCCCAAGTTCAAGGCCAGCTTAAGCAACAGTATTGAGGTGCTGTCTCAAATGAAAACGAAGAGCTGGGGATGTAGCTCAGTGTGGAGACTCGGGGTTTAACACCCATTACAAATGAATGAATGAATAGCAGTGTGTGCTGCCTGAACTCTTAACATTGAAGTTAAAGATAACATTTAAGATATCAAATATTTATTGTATTTGTAGGTAACATAAAAGCCCACTGGGGGAGTCTTAAGAACTTGGGATAATTGTTGTGACTAAACATTGGTTATACTTTTTTGTACATAGTTACACTTTTAGTTTTAAAGTTTTTATTAGTAGATATTGACAGTACATAATGATTACATTCATCATGGGGAGTTGGTAAATGTATACAACACATTTTAATTCTTTTTATGTCACCTTCCCCTCCCCTCATTCAGTATACTTTTGAGCATCCTAATATTAGAGACTAAAACATTTTAAAATGGATTATACAGTTCTTTTTTTTGTGTTTCCCATGTCAGACAGGGGTAATGTGTCAAAATAGTAACAAAGTTTGAGGGAGGCACATCTCAAGTATATTGACATGAAGAAACATCCAGTCATCACTGAACCAAAAGCTCGCGTTCAGGTTCTTTTGATTAAGCAAAAGTGAACATATGTTCATGTGGAGGAGAAAACTTCTCATTATTCAAAATTGTATCTTAGACTGTATTGTTTTCTCATCCCATCCAATAAAAAGCAGCAGTCCAATACTGAAGCATCCTATGTGATTTAGCTTAACTGTAACATTATCTCCTGAGCTAATGTATTCTTCCCTGAGCTAATATCCTAGTAATAATAATTGTTGCTCTCATAATAATACCTTGCATAGACATTTATATCTATTGTCTCATATACCTCCTTGATTGGTTTGCGTATCAAACCATTGTGTTACTTTCTTGTCACTGGGACACAGTGCTGAACACCCACAAATTAAAGGAGAGGTTTATTTTGGCTCACAAGTTGTAGAAGTTTCAGTGCATAGTTGGCTGGCTCTGAAGCAAGGTGGCAAGGCAGAGGAAGGTTGCTTATGGCCCGACAGAGAGTGATCAAAGGAGGAAGGGAGATAAACCACTCCCCACTCCCCGTGCCCACCTCGCCCAACTTCAGCTATAAACTCATCAGAAGACTGATCCACTGATATGTGTCACACCCTCATGATCCAGTTACCTCCCAAAGTCCCACATGTGAGTGCATGAGGCTTTGGGGGATCACTTAGATACAAACCATAGCAACCATTAAATGTGTGTACACACACACACACACTCCTGCCCTGTATTATAATGCTTCAGAAACCATAGGCTATATGAATAACTTAATCCCATTGATTAGATGCCTAGTGACATTGTATCCATCTTAGTTTGTATATATACACTGTATGATGTTCACATACCAACAAAATCACCTAATATCGTTTCTCAGAAGTATCCTTGCTACATTGTGCATCACTTAGTAATGAAAGTAAGGTCTGAGAAAAGCATTCGTAGGAGATCTTGTTGTTCAAATACCATAAAGTATGCTAATACAAAGTCAGTCACTCCACATGGCCTTCTGGTATGGTCAAAACACTCAGTAAACATGAGGTATGTGAGGTTGCTGCCAGGGAAACATGTCACACTGGGTTTTTAAAATTTGATTAATTAATTTTTCTAGTTTTTTGGGACAGGATCTTACTATATATGCAGTCCAGGCTGTTCTCGAACTTACTATGTAGCTTAGGCTCAACTCCTGCCTCAACTCTCAAGTGCTGGGATTATGAGTATGCACCCCTACACCCACCTAGTACAGTGCTACCTGTGCTAAAGTTTACAGACAATTTATTTTGCAATTTTGAGGAAGAGGCTGGGGCCATGTTTGTCACCGGTACAGAGTTTGTGAATGGAAGCTAAATTTTGCCAAATGCTCTTGTTTGAGAACTGAATTGTTTGCAAACAGAAGCATTCATAAACTGAGGTATTACTGTATACTGTTTTACAATAATAATAACCCCCCATAATTAAAAGTATATTCTAAGCTGGGTGTGGTGGCACACTCATGTAATCCCAGCACTCAGCAGGCTGAGGCAAAGGATCATTTCGAGTTCAAGACCACCTGGGCTACCAAGGCAGCCCAACGCCAGCCTGAAGCACATAGTGAGACCCTGTCTCAAAAAGACCAAAAAAAAAAGTAATTCTAACATAACAATAAGAAGTGTAGTAAATACATAGGTCACTAACATAGGCATTTATTCTCATTCTAAAGTGTTACGCACTGTCCATAATTTTATGTGCTGTATTTCTGCATGACTGGCAGCATAATGGGGTTGTTTATATCAGCATCACCATAAACATGAAACACATTGTACTACAACGTTGTGACAGCTACAGTTTCACTAGGCAATAAGTTTTAGCTGTGTTATAATCCTGTGGGACCACCACTTAAACTGCAATTCATCATTGATACAGACATCATTGTCCAAAAGGGATTTGAGGTTATTTGAGTTAAGTATCTTTAGGATAGCAAAAAGATGATTGAGAGCTTTTATCTGCTGATAGGTGTCAGGCTCTGGTAGGCAGTTTATATACATTCTCAGTTAATCGTAAGGACAGTACCTGCATTTCCATTTTATAAATGAGACTTTTCTTTGCAAGGAAAGGCAGGAAATGGATGTTGGGGTGTGGTTAGGAAGATGCTGGTCTGAGTGGAGAGACAGCAATATTCTTACGCTGTTTGATTATGTGAACATGCTCCAGGGTAGTCTTGAGCAAGTAGGGCATGCACATGAGAGACAAGTGTTATATATATAGCCTCAGTCACTTAATATATAGAGATGTTGACTTTTAAACAGCAGAGATTTTTACAGAATGTGGGTATAGCCAACAGTGGTATGATATTTTGCTTTTACTTATTTGGTTTTATTTTGAATCATAGAGATTTTTTACTCCACAATTGGAGATTGAACCCAGGGCCTTTGCACTGTACATTGTCAGTCCTTTTTATTTTTGAGAGGGTCTCACTAAATTACCCAAGCTGGTCATGAATTGGGATCCTCCTGCCTCAGCCTCCCATCACGCCTAGTGAGTCATATAGATTTTTATTAAATCTTTCTTTGAACAGTATTAATTAGCATCTAAACTCGATTATATTTGTGAAAGAATATAATGAAGTATTAATGTCTTTAATAGCTCAATGATATGAGCTGAGCATTCATGGGTATGAAATCTCTAATAAGGGTGCTTATTAATAAGCAAACTGAATTACATGAAATCTCTTGATACTTTCCTTTATTATTTAATATACAACAAAATTTGTTTTACTAGGCCAGGAGTGGTGGTACAGACCTATAATCGGCGGCACTCAGGAGGCTGAGGCAGGAGGATTGCTGCAAATTGGAGGCTACCCTGAACTGCATAGTAAAACCGTGTCCCAAAAAGACACCCCCCCAAAAAAATCTTGTTTACTATAGATGAATTAAAATACAGAGATTAACACAGAGAAAAAAATGTATAGTCCTACCAGTGGGTTGAATGAATTCTGATTTTTTTTTTCCTGTGTGTTGTTTCTTTCAGAAATATGGCTACACACATCTTTCTGCAGGAGAACTTCTTCGTGATGAAAGGAAGAACCCAGAGTCACAGTATGGTGAACTCATTGACAAGTACATTAAAGAAGGAAAGATTGTGCCAGTTGAGATAACTATCAGTTTATTAAAGAGGGTAAGAAGGGTGAATGTCAAGCAGTTCAAACCAACAAGGAAACAAATTAAATCCCTTTTTCATTTGAGTAATAAAAATTCTGAGTGTTGAATTTCTTGCATGTGGAAGGTAGTTATAATGTCAGAGAATGGAAGAACTGGAAAGTCTACTTTTACCTGGGAAGAAGTTGAACAGTAGCCAGGATTCTCTGCCTTGGTACAGGATCTGCTTTAGTTTAAGTGAACATCCGTGTGTGCACACTAATCCCTTCATTCCCAGCGTTCAGTTGCTCTCCCTCCCTGTCTGTTTCTTCTTCCCCCTGCTTTGTCAGTCGTTCCTCGCTTTTTTCTCCTTTCTTACAAATCTTCTGTTTTTCTTTTCTCTATTTTACCTGTAGCCCTCTTGTAATTAGTCTTTCAGCCTTTTCTGATGCATGCATCACCATCATCAGTGTGTAATGGTAAAATTTGGTAGCCATCAAACTAAAATTTCTCCATCTGAAACAAACACCTGACACGTACTTGGTAACTCTGCCAAGACCCCTAGAGTACAGCCATTAACAGGCCTTTTGGCATAAACAGTGAAGGAGAAATACAGTGTTGAGAACAACAAAAAAATAACTGAAGCCTAACTGGGAGAAGGACACATAGGCATCTGGGTGCAGCCAGAGACACAAAGAATGGCTCATACACACTGTCTTAAGTCTTTTCTGGGAGGCTGCTTCCATACAGGAAGAAATCCCTCCCCTAGTCCCTGTGTCAGGTGCTCTTTCTCTGAGTTACAGCTGAGTGCTGTGAAAGTCCGCATTCCTTTTACTTTTTCACTTTCTACTTTAACCCTTTGCAGTGAAGTACTATTTCCATCTCCACTGGAACTGTGTTGCCGATGATCTTCTCTATCAAGTCCAGGGGAAGCTGTTAAGCCATTATTTTCTTCTAGTGTTTACCTCTGATCACTGGCTATCTGAAAGTCATTCCTTTTTGTTTCTTGTGAGATCATTTCTGTTAATTCTCATCCCTGTTCAGCAACTGATACTTCACAATCTCCGGTAACGTTTGTTCTTTAGCAAGTTTCTTAAACAATGTTTCTCAGGTTTTATTCTTGGTTCTCTTCATTTCCTGTGTATACTTCACTAGACTGTATTAATCATGCTCAAACCTTTCATTATGCTAGCAATACTGAAATTTACAGCTCTAGCTCAGATCTTTGTTCTAAATTTCAACATATTCCTGAGCAGAAGGCATTTAACTGAATGTCTCATAGTGTCTCAAAATCAACATGTCAGAGGCTGAATGTATCAGCTAAAAGGTGATCTTCCCTTATTTTCTATATTGGTTATTGACTCTACCAGCCACTTGACACCGAACTATGGGAACCATCCTACATTCTCTGCCTCCCTCACTTTCCCAAATCCAGGCAGTGAGCAAATCTTTCCAGTTATCTTTTTCATTTTTTTCTGTCCATCATTTCTTTTCTCTGTGAACACTATCACTTTAACCTGCTTTCTTTCCAGTCATAACTTCCATCACTTTCTACACGTATGTTTAGATTCAGTTATACTTGCTTAGTTTGCATCAAAACTGTATGCTGTCTCATATTTTTGGCCTCCATACATCTGCTTTTTACCAGCTAGCAGATACTGATGATTGTCTGCTTGACATTTTATTATTCACTGGGTAAATACACTGCCAACTTTCTGAGAAATCTGTTTCTGGCAGTTTCTCGACGGTTGGGCTTATTTCTTTGTTTTATTATAGCGTCCTTTGCATGCCTTGTTATAGAACTCACCGCACTATTCATACATCTCTGCTTCCCCTGCATGATAAGCCCTCCAGGGGCAAGAGCAGTGACCTCGCTCTTCATGTTCACTGCCTGTAGGTGTTGGATAAATGTATGTTGAGTGAATATAATTCAGGTGCCTTCTGTAGATATCTTCCACAGTCATAATTGGTATAGAAAGGTTATTAATGAAAGCCCAAAAGTGTTTTTAGAAATTTTATGAATATTAGAGAAACAGCTGAATGTTGGGATAAAGCCCACTCTTAGAAACGTAATTGAGTCCTGGCAGCCATGTTCATCATCTTGAAGAACCAGGATAGTTTGAGCATGGGGGATGATGAAATTGGTTTGATTTGGGCTAGAGTCCCCTGCAAGGTTTGTCAAAGCCAGGCATCTTTGCTCATCCTGTGGTGATTGGAAGTAGCACGGATTTGGAGATTAGGAATCTGCACGTCCCATCCCACATTCCATCTAAATACAGGTTTTGGAAGAGGTTGCTGAATGGTATTGGTCTTTTTCATGCAGTTTTTTTGTTTTGTTTTGTTTTTTTCCTATGTTTTGGGGCAGTCAGTGGCATTTAGACATACTTAGCTTCAGTTTTTGAAAGCATTAAATTTTACACTAATAATGCTAACACTGTTTTTAATATCTGTTCAAAGGTTTTTGTTTTCTTTTTTTTAGACAGGGTCTTGCTGTGTAGTTCAGTTAGACTTTGAACTGTGTAGCCTAGCCTGGCCTCAGGCTTACAGTGATCATCACCCTGCCTCAGCTCCTGAGTAGTGGGATTACAGGCGTATGCCGTTACCTTCATCGACCAAAGATTTTTTGCTGTTGCACTGAGTGATAGTGAAGTTGAGCATGTATGGAAATAGCAACTTTTTATCACAGCAGAGTGACCTGGGAAAAGCAAAGGGAGGCAAAGATCATCTCTTTTTGCTCATGCAGAGGTCTTGGTTAATGGTTATTTTCTCTTACTGCTGCTTCTTGGACCAATTCATGTTGTCAGCTTATCTGAACTAAGGGAGAAGTGATGGATCATGGGGCACTGTATTCATCACTAGATTAATCCACTAATGTTCATGGCTGAATGTGCTGTCAGGTAGTAGGGCCTATTTGGAGGAGTCCAGTCACAGGCAGCCTTTGGAGGGTGTATCTCTCTCTGGCCCTCTCCCCTGTTCTTTGCTTCGTGGCTGCCATAAGGAAGATTTGCTCCACCACATCCTTCCTCCAAAACCCTGCTTTTGCCCTAGCTTACCACGGATTAAAAATTCTGAAACTGCAAGCCAGAGAAAACCTCTCCTCCTTTAACTTGTGAATGTTGGGTGCTTTGTCTTCACAATGAGAAAGATAACCAATATAATGCTGTATTACTTTTCTGTCACTATAACTAAATATCTGTGATAACTAACGTATAAAGAGAAAAGATTCATTTTGGCTCATAGTTTTGGAATTCCAGTCCAGGATGGGGTGTGGGCCATCGCTGTGAGCTGCTGTTGGGGTAGTAAATGGTAAAGATAAAGTGGAGTAAATGGTTCACTGCATTGCCAGGAAAGACAAAAAACAAAGGGGCTAGTGACCTACTGACCTCTATTAGACTCTGCCTAAAGTTCCACAGAGCCTCCCAATAGTGCCACACTGGTGTTCAAGTCTAGCACGTAGATGGACCTTTGGGGGATAGTCAGCATCCAAACTATAGTACTATATGCTTACCCTATAAAACTTGAAACTATAAAGAAAATTGTGTGTGTAAAATGAGAAGGTACATGCCTGTAACCCCAGGAGCTTAAGGCAGCCATGTTAATACATTGTTCCATTTCCATCTAACCTGTTTTTCAGTGTACCTTAGGGTTTAAAGAATAACAAAACAAATTGTATTCACTATCTTTCCTAATGCTCTTTGTTAATGTAGTATTGAGCTAAATCTTGTTTCTTTAGGAAATGGATCAAACAATGGCTGCCAATGCCCAGAAGAATAAATTCTTGATTGATGGGTTTCCAAGAAATCAAGACAACCTTCAAGGCTGGAACAAGACCATGGATGGGAAAGCAGACGTATCTTTTGTTCTATTTTTTGATTGTAATAATGAGGTAATGAAAAATCTTTGTCTGCCTATGTGAACTTTAAACACTAATGTTTAGCTATAAGGAAAATGAGTGATCTTTTTTTATATTTATATTTTCTGTTGGCAGAAGTATATTTTTGAATTGGTAGGTTGGGTAGACAGAAAAGCAGCAGCTTGCTTTTAGTGTGTTATATACTATTTGGCATCAGCAATCTTGTGAACCTAAATTTTGCCATTTTCAAAAAAAAAATGAGTTTTTAAAAAATATGTACCATAATGTTAAATAACAAAGGTAAAATACTACTTTCTTATGTACGCACTATTTTCAGAGAGTATGTTGTTTATTGGAAAAGAAACTCACGTTTTTTGAAAGATGGAGCATAACCCAGTTTATCTTCTAAGAATAAAATGATGTTGAAAAAAAGCAAGACAGCGTAGATGCCTAGAATCCCAGGGTTGGCAGTTTAGTGACTTAGTGACACTCTGTCTAAAAAGTAAAAAGGGCTGTGGATGTAGCTCAGTGGGAAGATCCTTTGTTCAGTACTCAGTACCAGGGAGGAAAAGCAGTTTTTGTTTTGTTTTGCTGATACTTCTCATACCCAGATATACCTTTGAATAACTAAATGAATATTTTAGAATCATTTAATTAAAAGGCCTGATTCTGTTTGACAGCTGCTGTGACATAAATGTCATTAAATACCAGCAGCATTAAGGAATAAGAAATTGAAGTAGTGCCTTGAAGGAATTTGGCTATTCTTAGGCGGTTACAATGCCTTTGGTGAATTTGGCTATTCTTAGGCTGGTTCAAATGTGCCTTTGGTAGGGAGTCTCTCTATAGCCTTTGAGTTGTTTTAAAAATGTAACTCTCTTGTTCCAACCCCCAAAATATGTTTTCATTTATTCTTCAAAGTTAACTTTAAAATGTTACCACAGCTTTAAAAGTAAGGAATGTTTATTCACGATTAACAAGAGATGCTTTATTCAAATGTGTTGACTCTTAAGTATCTGGATATTTAGGGAATTATTGTAAAGTAAGCAAAAATGGAACAAAGTTCGAGGCATGTAATTCATACCTAATAAGTTAATAATATATTTGCAATGGAACCATACATATACAGATCTTTTTATTGCAGTTTGAAAAAAATACACACAGGAAAAACTGAGTCATGAATGAACTCTTATTATGCTCTGTACTTAACCTAGTTTGTATAAATTGAACCACATGTTTAAATTTTAAAAGATTGCATGTTGATTAATGAATTAGACACATGGGGGGGTTGGTCTTGTTTTGGTTTGGTTTGGTTTTTTGGGTAGCCTTTTCAAATTTTATTTTCCTTTCAGATTAAAAGAATGGCAAGTTCATATTTTTCCATTTTTAAAATAACTTTTTAAAATAAATCTCTTTTTAGATCTGTATTGAACGATGTCTTGAAAGGGGAAAAAGTAGTGGTAGAAGTGATGACAACAGAGAGAGCTTGGAAAAGAGGTATTTTTCAGTCTTTGTGTTTAATCACTTTAATCCTACTGTGGAATTTGAGTGACACTAAATTCTGTGCCATTTTCCCCAGAAAAAGAGCATGCCATGCTTAACTAGGTGCAGTACCTGGTGTAAAGAGATGAGTAAATCATTTGAGTCATATGTGGTATGGTCCTGTAAGCCACTGTAATGAGAACACTGTTACAACGCTTGCCTCTTTTGCAGGATTCAGACTTATCTTCAGTCAACAAAGCCAATTATTGACTTATATGAAGAAATGGGAAAAGTCAAGAAAATAGATGCATCCAGATCTGTTGATGAAGTGAGTGTCTCTGACCTGACCTGTCTTTGAAGAAAAAGTTAAGGGACAATGTGATTATTTCTTTTGGTATAGGCAGGAGAAAAAGAAGTAGTGTAATAAGTTAATTTGCTTTTTAAGACACTTGAGACTGAGAAAATTAGGATTTTCTCCTTTTTGAATATGTGTAAAATAGGTTTTAAAACTTTAGACTTCTTTTTCATAGAATGTAGGTGGCTTCTTAAGTCCAAACCTCTTTGCCTAAACACTGGAAAATTGGTACATTTTTTAGTTCTGCATTTTGGATGATGTTCTCTTTTTAAAAATCTATTCTGTGGCGGGGGATATAGCTCAGCAGCATAGTGCCTGCCTGGCAAGCGCTAGGTTGTGAGTTTGACTCCCAGCACACACCAAAAAAATCTACAGTGTAACTGCCACATCATCTAGCTTCAGAGCCACAGGCTGCTTTTTCTCTTCCATTACAGGACAAATAATACCAAAGGTGCAGGGTTCCATGACTTTCTCTTTGCCTTTGTAAGTCAGTGATCTTATAAACTGTGATTTGAACCCATGATGCCTGTAGATATGTCTAGTGTCTTTTAATGCACTCGTGACAGGGCCATATATTTAATGTGACTGTCCCGCAAGGAGCTCATATCAGTTATGCATGTCCCGCCGGCACTTTAAGCTGTGGTTTAAGGTTAAGCCTCATCTGCCTCCCCTGTTTCTCTGAATCTTCCTCTCAGAAGGTAATAAAGAAAGATCCAGAGGAAGAAGATTCTGTTGATCTTTTTTTAAATTCTAAAATCAAATAGCTGAAATGAAAAAATGTGAATTTTAAAATAAAATTTACTATTAGAAACTTAGCTATACAGTAAGAGGAAAGGTTCTGGCTTGTATTTTATTTGTTGTTTCATTTCTTTCGTTTTATTTTTGCGGTGGGAATTGAGCAGATGGCCTCATACATGTTATGTGGTGTTTTAACAATGTCTGCTTTTAAGATGTCCTTTTTCCATTGCAGGTGTTTGATGAAGTTATGAAGATTTTTGATAAAGAAGGCTAACTCTGAACCTGAAAGTATTCTTAAAATCATGCTTGAATTATGCTTTGATAGCTGCTATCCAGCCCCTTTTTAAGGCAGTTTTAATCTTTCAAAATTACATCTCAATTAATGGCTAGAAAATATATAGTAAGACATTAAATTTTTAAATTTTAATTTAGTGTTTTGGTCACAAGAGTAGACAATGAATTCAGGTTTAACTTCATCTTAGTTATAATGGTGCTCACAAAACAAAGGTATCAGCTAGTTCGTTTTTATTAAAAAGGTTATCCCTTTTATAGTTTGTGCCTTCTGTGAGCAAAATTTTTTAGTATGCATGTTATATCCCTTTAGTAGTTACACTATGACAGCTGGGCATGGTGCCCACACATGTAATCCCAGTACTTGAGAGACTGAGGCAGGAGAATTGCTGTGAGTTCAAGTCCAGCTTAAGCTACATAGTAAGACCCTGTCTTAAAAAAAACAAAATACAACAAAAAATGTAATTACAACATGTTAGGATTAGGGATTCCTACTTCCTTTTCTTGCAGGTTTCAAATTCTAAGCTGTTAAGTGAATTTGTGGACCAAATTTTAAAGGATCTTTTTGTGTAGTCATTTCTTACATAGGTATTTGGTAAACAAACTCAGAAAATGATTGATTGCTAGCAATGTCTTAATATTTATCAAATAACTGACCATTTCCTATAGAAAGATAAAACTTAGATTACTACAGCTTATGCAAAGTTGTACTATAGATTTGCTTCCAAGGTTTGGGTTGGGATCACAAGGGATTCAGAGCCTGACAGAACTGTGAGCTTTATTATGACACAATCAGAGCGTGTGGGGCAAGGATCACATCTAGTAATCATGTTCCTTTTGCTCTGCTATATGGTGTTATTCATGATTAAACCGATCAACACAATTTGTAGAAGTGGAACCTTGAAATGCATGTGCTAGATTTATGCTGAAATAATTCAGTTCTCTTGTTAGTAACAATTCAGGTTTGTTTGTTTCCTAGACTAAGTATAGGATTAGGGTAAAATTACAGAAGGCAACATAGGGGCCGGGGATTTAGCTCAGTGTCATAAGCGCCTACCTAGCAAGCGTGAGGTTGTATGATCCCCAGCACAGTAAAAAAGCAATATAGTGGTTAGATTTCTCATTTGTATTTTATTTTCTGGCATATGTTTTTCATAGTTATTTGTTTAAGGAGATTTAAAAATCATTGCACTTTGGTCAGAAAAATAATAAATATATCTTATAATGTTTGATTCTCTTCTGGTACTTTTGTTCAGTAAGTTCTTTTTTAGACATCATGTTGAAGCATTGAAAGGCACAAAACGTGTAAAAGGCTGTAGAGTCCAAATAAATTTTCTTTTTTTCTTTCTTTTTTTCATACTGGGGATCGAACTCATGACCTCACACTTGCCAAGCAGAAGCTTACGCCACTGAACTAAATCTCCAGCCCTGAATTTTCTTTTATATCTATTCTTCCTTTAAAAATCTCAGAAATTTATTTTTCCTTTTCCTTCTTTCACTAATGCTGAGTGATATTCAAGGTTAATAGAAATTTCTTAAATTTTTCTCATTTTTAGCACTTACACTGTTTGGTATACAGGGTTTAATAGAGGTTAAGTAGTTAGTAGTTAGTACCTTTTTAAGATGAAGGCCCAGCCCTCCAAAGAAAAGATGTTGACCTAGACGGGCTTATTCTTTCAATCACTATCATCTCCAGAGAACAGCGAAATGTGTGGCAACCACTAGAGGTACAAGACCAAAGTCACAAGTCCAGCAGGACGTGACTGATGGTGCAGGAATTCCACTTAACTATGGAATTTTAGTCTATAGAATTAGATTTTATATTTAAAATCACTGGGAAAGAGATGTGAAGGTAGACTGGCTGGACCATCTGTCACCGCATAGATCACCAGTTTGATTCAGCTGATCTGGCTGGCTAGGCAGATGTTCCCTTCCTCAGTGATCCGTGCTAGTGGGATAGAGGAGGGCCTTTTCCTTAGTCAAAGGTATATGAGTAGATGCACTCCCCTGCTAAAACCTGTAGAAGCTATTAGAAGGGCGAGAGATAGCGCAGTGGTAGTGTGTTTGCATGCACAAGGCCCTGGGTTTGATCGTTACCACAAGAAAAGACATACTATAAAGTAACTGGAAATAGAACAAGTTCATGACTATTCTTGTAATAGTAATAGAATCATTTATTTCTGTGCATGTTATAAAATTTTCTTATTAATGAGAAATTAATGTACCTGCTATTAGGCAACTAGTATCCCTTATTGTACTGTAAGATTTTGTTCAGAAATGCTAGAATTTGTACTCTGATGTAGTTTCTTCGAAGAGATAGTAACAATGTTTTATCTAATGCTTCAGGCCAGCCAGTACAGAGGCAATTTTTGGTGGTTTAATCACCTACTTATAATGAAACAAGATTTAGAAGTTTTTTGTTTTTTCTTTTTTTGGGGGGATAGGTATTGGGAATCAAATTCAGGACTTCATGCTTGCTAAGCAAGCACTGTGCCACTGAGCTAAATCCCTGGCCCAATCGAAGAGTTTTGAGAGCATTCCTTTTCACACAAATGAAGAAATCTTTCAGATGGGAAACTAAATATTTATACTGATTGTTGTAAGAGTACCCTTGCAGTTTTGAAGATTTCTGAGAGTAGGTATTTTGCTTCCTTTCATCAGCTATCTTCCTGCAGCTTTTGAGAACAGAAACCAAGAAACATGGTAATTACTAAATTACAAGGCTTTGCTTTTAAATAGAAAAACATGTTGGCAATATTGAATTTTGAAGTTGATTGAAATACATGTCACCTTATTGGTTTGATCATTCCATTTGTTAAAGATAATAGTAAGAAGCTTTTGAGTTTCTTTAAAGACCCTAATTTGGTGAACTTTTTGAACATTATCTCCACTAATGTATATATTATTCAGCGTTATTCAGCAGAATGTGTATAAATTATTCAGCAGAATAATTCCAATAAATTTTGTGGTATGGCCTTTGCTATTTGCTGGTTCAAAATTTCCATTTTTTAAAACATCGAAGATTGAAAAGTTCCATTTAACATCTGGGGTCAGGGGTTTGGCTCAGTGGCACTAGCGCCTGCCTGGCAAGCACAAGGTTATGAGTTCAATCCCCAGCACTCAAAAAAGAAAAAAAAAAAAAACCAATCCATTTAACATCTGAATCCTCACATAGCAGTAGCAGAGTTTAGGATCCAGGAGAATTTTCTGCTGTCTCTCTCTACATTTTGTTTCAGCATTTTAAGCAAAAAGCATGATGGTGCCCTATTTCTTCAAGAAATAATCTAGTTAAAGACATACGCACTTTATTTCATCTTCCATGAGAAGCCTCAGTTTTTGTCTCTCTGAGGAAGAAATTGATAGGTCAGTGTGTGCCAGAATGTGGGCTTTTGTAGACTTGCAGCTTTGTTCTGTGCAGTACTGGGCGTTTTCTGGGCTTTCATGCTGAGCTACATCCCCAACCTTTTTATAAAGTTGAGATAGTGTCTCCATTTGTTGTCCAGGGGCTCAATCTTAGTGAGTTTCTGCCTCAGCCTGCACCATCAGTCACGTCCTGCTGGACTTGTGACTTTGGTCTTGTACCTCTAGTGGTTGCCACACATTTCACTGTTCTCTGGAGATGATAGTGATTGAAAGAATAAGCCCGTCTAGGTCAACATCTTTTCTTTGGAGGGCTGGGCCTTCATCTTAAAAAGGTACTAACTGCGCAAGCCACGGTGCTACAAACACATTCTGTACCATCGGTTCAGAACACTGACATGGCTGGAACTTCAGAGTCTTCTGTTGGATAATTTCAGTCTTTTTACACACTCTTATTTCTGTTCTTCCTGGCCCACCTATATCTTTAGCCAAATTAAATATTCCTGAATTCTAAACACTTTTGTTTTTTCATTTTTCCATTTTTGAAAGAAAGAAAAAAAGCTTATTTATTGTATACCAAAAGAAAGGAGAGCCACGGTCCAAATACCTATTGCGTTTATCCCTAGTCCCTTGGGCAGTGTAAGTACTCTTGGATCCAGTGTGGCTGGTATGGTGGTGATGTTAGTGTGGGGCTTCAGGAAGCTCTAAAGGTCACCATCTTTCCTGCTGTGGGGACCCTGAAGGACAAAATTGATTTCAGGCTGAGGTTGACCATATTAGCGCCAACCTATCACTGAAGCTCAGGCCTTTATGGATGGATCCTTGCTGCCTCAGCCCATCAGAGAAAAACTTAACTTTTCTTGGGTTTTCTGAATGGCTTTGTCCTCCTAAGACCCAGGCCTGAAAGAAGAGTTAACTTATTTTGTCATATTTAGGGAGACAGGGTAAATAACACATCAGAACATTTCTCTAGGTGAAGTTCTTGCGGCCATAGAATATCATTTTTATTTATGAAACATTTTGAACACTGGTCTTTGACAGCCTAACCAACTAACAGAGAGCACCTGCAGGGCTAGGTTAGCAGATACATTTAAACGCTGTGAGGAAAGAGGACAGACAAATGCCTGGACATCTAATCTGTGACTTGTTAAAAGCATAATTTGTGTTTTCTTCTGATGCAGCAGTTGCTTTTTCAAAACAAAAACAATAGTGACTCTTCACTTGGCCCTGCATATGCCTAATAGGTAGCTAAAAGCAAGAATAAAATTTAACTTTCATTTTGTGTCTGTTTCCCTTATTACCTTAAAACTTTGGGTCAGATTCTTGCTCAGAGATGTTAATCACTTAGGAGGAGTATTTCTAAATATTGGTGAAACAAAGTTGATTAGCCCTGAATTTGCATAACTTATCTGATCTCCTTTCAAGACTGAGGACACTAAGATGAGTGGTTTGCAGCGCAAATGCCAAGTACCCAAGAGTCTGCAGTCATTACCTTTAACCTATGGTCCACTTGGGTTCCAGCAGAGCCTCCATGAAATTGAGACCAGATTGTCCCCTCAAGGATTTCTCCTGCAATCATCTTGCAAAAACACAATGGAGAGAAGGACTAACCAGACTTTAAAGGCTAGTCTTGTTTTTATGCTAACAAGCCAGTCTGGTCCCTCTTCATCAGATCCCTGCACTCCTTTCATCTACTCAAGCAGAAGGCCTTTCCCTACCTTCCCTGATGGCTTTGTAAATCTGCCTGTGACTGTCACTGTGAAGTCTGGAAATTCTGTGACAGTGAGTCAAAAATCTTTCCCAAAGGGTAACCTGAGGTCCCCATTTCCTCTTTGAGGAGAATTTGGCCTCTCCAATGACATTACCATATCCCAGTCCTCATGTTACACCATCACACTCTGGATTGTCTTCTGTACACTGGAATCAAGCAACACACACACATGTGTCTTCATTTGGTCACACAGCCACATGTATAAAGAAGGGAAAAAATTTTTAAAACTAGGGATGCAAACTTTACAATCCCTATACTACTCTTGAAGGCTTCCTGGACGGAGTATACTCAGCAGCTACTATGAAGTTGGGAAAGCAGTGCTTGCTTCAGAAGCACATATACAAAAATTGAAATTGGGAAAGTAAATGACTCAAGGACTCAGTCTGAGCTTCTAAGACAACCCCTGCATTAAACAAATTCCCTAGGCAGTTGCTAAGCTCTGGTCGGGAACTCTTAGAGGACTGGGTTGAACTAGCCTCACAGCTACCTGGCCCTAGGGGCTTCCAAAGCCAGAGGGAAAGACTGGGTAGGTTCAGTAGTCAGCACTCAAAGAGAGGGGTGCCTAGAGCACCCTAAATAGTTTGAGTTTTATAATGAAGCTGCCAGAACCTGCAATCTGTAGTGGTGGTAAAGCATTAAAATGGCCCCATCGTCACAGCAGGCTTTTGCCCCTCATTTACCAGGTGCAAACTGGGATTGAGTGGTGCACATGTCCACCCTCAGCACTCAGCAGCTGAGGCAGCAAGATAAAAAGTTCAAGCTCAGCCGGAGCAACTTAGCAAGGCTTTGTCTCAAAATATAAATAGATAGATAAATAGATGTATGATAGATAGATAATTGATAGATAGATAGGCAGCCAGGCTGGAGATGTAACTCAAATGTGAAAGCCTTGGGTTCAATCCCTGGTTCTGGGAAAATAAAAATTCTAGATGTACAACAGATCTTGACATTGTCCTGTCAACTTGGTCAAGACCGACATTTGAAAGAGAAAAATGCTAAAGTTTAATTGGCTTACATTGGCTAAACATATTCCCAAATTAAAATAACAAAACATATCAGACCAGATGATGATGCATGCCATCATTAACAGAAACCCCA